GCTTGCGACCTGACTTTCTCGCTCGCGCAAGTCTCCATCTGTTGCTTCTAACCCTCTTCTTCTGTTCCTGCGCGCGCGTGAGCGGCCATAGCTACTCAGTTAGCCTTAGCCGGAGCCTGCCGCAGCGCCATCGACTGTTGCCGCTACTCGCTGACCTTTTTCAACAACGGCTGGGCGGAAGGCAAAGAGGACAGGAGGAGGGACACGCCGTCGTGCTTGACGGCCAAGTAGACGGCCAAATTGTCGGAACTGGCGACTGGCAAGATGGCCGGCACTCGGAGCTGCGTAGCAGCTCAAGGCTTCCCCGAGGCGCGGAGTTCCCCGGGGAAGGCAATGGCAAGGTTGGTGCCATTTACGGAGAGAGCAATGAGAGAAGCAACAGTGATGGAACGAAGGGGGAGAATGTCTCGCTCCCGCATCGATACTCGTTATTGGACACGACGACGACGACAACAACAACGACACTATCTCTCGCCAGCAGCAGCATGGCCGTGTACTCGACAAGCAATGCGGGTACGCACTTACTCTAAACGCAAACGCCGTATTTCTGCCTTCATATTTCTTTGGTTGAGGTCCCCTTGATCAGTTCACTGAATGGCGGATTTATTCTCCCCATTTACACCCCCCTACCCTCGCTCCTGCTCCCTCCCCACGCGATGCGTCGCAGCGCATTGCAAATGTGTCGCCATGTGTCGCAAGGGGTTTCAAAGTGTATGCCCTCCCCATTCATCAAGCTTTCTTCTCCCCACTCTCCTCCCCCTCCCTTCCTTCGTTCTTCCGTTTGCCCTTTCCCATCGCCTCATTGCTCCAATTCTTTCCATTCCTCCTCGACAACCCTCAGCTCCCCCGACTGTCTTCCCCACACTCAGCTCCCAAACTTAGCCCCCTCGCTCAACCCCCTTCCCTACCATCCCCACTCCTCAACCTCTCTTCCCACCCCGCTCCCCGGCCCCAACCGCTCCAGTCGCCACCGAGGTGCCCCCGCCCTGCTCGCCGCTTCTCACGGCGGTCAGGATCGCCGTGTTCACCGAAGACGACTTCGCGCTGCGGCTGCAGTACTCCCCGCAATCCACGGTCATCCTCGAGCTCCAATCCGACCTCGCCTTGACGCGCGGGCTGCTCTTCAACGCCTCCTACGCCTGCACCATCCTGCGCTCCGCGCGCGCGCCGCCCAACGGCGCGACGCTCTCGCTCGCGAGCACGGACGAGCCGCTGCTGCGCATCTGGAACACGAGCAACGTGCTCGTGCACGGGATTAGCTTCCAGCAGCCGTACACGGCGGCGTCCGCGCCGTGCGCGAACATTCCGATGATCGGCACGGGGATTATTTGTCCGACGGTGTCGATCTACGGCTGTCATCACGTGCAGGTGGTGAAGGGCACGCTGTTCGGGCGCATCGACGTGTTCCGCAGCGTCGTGTCGCGCATCGACAGCATGAAGGTGACGGGCGTGTCGGACTTCGATCTGAATAACGGCGTGATTCGCGTGGCGTATTGCGGGTACGGGCCGACGCTGGAGCCGTCGTATATCGCCATCACGAATAACGAAGTCTACGGTGAACTCTCGCGTCGAATCGCCTCGCCATGCTCCTCCCTGCTGCACCCATCCCTTCAACATTCATCCATACTCCCTATGCATTCTCTCTCACCGCACCCAACCCCTACAACGGGTACGGGCCGACGTTGGAGCCGTCGCAAATCGCCATCACCAAACAAAAATCCCGACTCCCGACCCATCCGCTCTCGCCTTGCATCCAGCCTTGGCGGCGGGCACGGGGAAACCTACCAACCCACCCACAAACCCTCTCCCTTCTTCTCCCTCCCTAAATCAATTTATCCATCTCACTTCCTCGAGGCCTCTGCCCCTCCCTGCTAAACTTTCCTATCTTTCCCAACCCCGTTTCCCGTACTGCAGGTGTACACACGGGTATCGTGCTCTACCGCGGCGCGGTGGGGGTAACCGTGCGAAACAACTACGTGCACGACTACCTTTTCGCGGGGATTCGCTGCGGCGCTGACGTCAGCCTACAGGGCGATTGCATGTTGTCGACGATTTCGAACAATCTTGTCGTGGCGACCGCGCGAAACATGAGCGGAGATCAGGACGCGGCGGGGATTTATTACTGTGTACATTGGTTTAATCCGGGAAATGTAGCGGAGTGTAACTATATTTATAACGGGGACCACTGTTACTACTTCGATTACGTTTCGTCGGGAATCACGGTGCGCGGGGGCGCGTGCATCGGGACTTACGACGGCATCAAAGTCAACAACGGGAAATGGTAAGTGGCCAATCCTCAAACGCGTCCTATTAGTGTTACTCCCAGAACCTCTTTCATTCAAAATCCCATTCTCTGAAAACCACCTCCTACACTATGTCCTCCCTCCTTCCTCCTGCCTCTCCCCACATGCTCACCTCACCTTTGCCCCCCTCATCTGCTGTGTCAATGCCCCTCTTTGCTTACAGGAACTTCGTGGAGGATGTGATAATGAAGAATGTGACGGGCATGACGGGGTGGTTCACGTGTTTGACGCCCACACTCAACAACTGTGCCATCCGCCCGGGCACCTACTGGGAGTCCATGCGCCGCAAGTACTACGACACGCCGCTCTGGAACAATGTGAGTCGTGGGCTGTGGCTGTGCTTATAACGAGGGTACTAATAAGAACTTCATGCTTTGATCCTTGAGCGTAAATCGTTGTGCAAAGAGTAGGATGGACACCTTAGTGGCCCTCAGCAAGTGTTACCCTGTGGGTTTTTCCCCTGCTCTCTCTCGCCTTCCCTCCCTGCTGCTTCCCTCGTCTTCCAGCTTTGGCCGTGGATGAAGGACATCTGTCTGGATCAGACCATCAGCGGCAACCCCTGCAACACCCCCAACACTCTCTCCGCCGCTCAAACGGGTGCATGCAGCGGGCTGCCCACCGACAATTTCCTCGACCTCGTACTCATTAACAACAAGCGCAATACTTGGTTTAAGTACTGCGAGAACCTCACCACTGTAGCCAAGATCAACTACTGGAAGGTGACGAACGTTACGGACGGCAACTCGCTTGGATTCGTCAACTTTGCGGGCGATGACCTGGCGGTTACCGCGACCTCCCCATTGGTCGTCAAGAAGCCGAAGTTTAAAAGCTGCTCGCGGGGGAAGGTGGGGCCGCGGAGAGTGCTGGACGTGTTTTACTACAGCAATTTCAACCAACCGGAGCCCGACACGTATGCGCTGGTGCAGCGAATGGGCACGAAGCACATCCAAGACAATACGAGATGGAGTAGTACTCCTTGAGAGCGGTGCGGATGGGTTGGGAAGGGAGAAGGTGGGGTGGCAATGGGTATGGACTGTGGAGAAATAAAGCTCTGGCTGATGCGGCCGTGAGGGATAAGAGCTGGAGACATGCAGAGGGGGAAAGGCACATGGGGTCACGCACACTGGGTGTTTGGGTGGATGGATCACCTGGGCGCAGTGCAGCAGCTGGCAGATACCTAGGCGGGTGGTGCTCATTGATCGTTGCTGCAATTGATCGCTGCACAGCAATGCTCACGGAGTCACTGACAGAAAGCAGTACGGGATTGACAAGAGTGGGCAACTCTGGAGAAGAAGCAGTTCATTCTGGTTATGTTTTTAGCCAGGTGTATTACGTACCGCACCTGGCTTCATTGTATCATAGTACGGTGCTACTTGTAAGATGCCCTCCGGGAAGGGAACACAAGCAATGGTCCTTGTCCGGGTGTTATGGGGGTTTCACAGTGCCCTAGCCCTAGGCCACTCCACATAACATGTGCGGCTCACATTTTCAATTGCAGAAGTCCACATAACATATGGTACAGTACAATGCAGTGCAGCAGTAGAGTGAGGCATGCCTTGAGTTTGCCATCGAAGAGAATACATGGCACGGTATGGTACTGTATGGCAACTACAGGGGATTGCTGTAGCTGATCGCGTCAGATTAGGCACCCAACAATACGGTGAGCACTGAGCAGCCATCAATCATTTGACTTGAGTTGCATGCCGTGATACACTAGCATGGGTCATGTGCAAGCTAGGAACCTGCCAGTCACTCGTGCAAAAGGTACAGGGATGAAATGCATATCAAAACTTGTACTGGACATATACACAGTGTACACTACTATACTTACCTAACAAACAAAACAATATCTCTTGTGATTCAGTACCCGCTCCACATTTGTACAGTTTTTTACTGGAGTGAGCTACTCGTCCACCTTCTCCAGCAAAGGCGCGCGTAGCCCAGTTCCCGCCCGCGCATGTCCACCTGGAAGAAGAGGCAGAATTGAATCTCTGCTGCTGCTGCTGCTGCTGCTGCTGCTGCTTCTGCTGCCGTTGTGACAACTACCAACTGAGCCACCTATACTCACATCTATTTGACCAGAACCACCAATTCCAGTAGCACTGGAAGCATCAGGAGCACCAGAACATGTTACACAATCCAATCGAGTAACCCCAGTGGGACTGGAGAGATGGCAGTGTTCGTTGCTGCAGGTGCTGTGCGATCGGGAGCGGTGCGGATGGTTGAACTCGGAGCCCTCGCTCCGGGGGTGCAGGGCGAGGTGGATGAGGAAGAGGAGGTAGGGGAGGGAGAGGAGGAGGAGGAGGAGGAATGTGGAGAGCGAGTGAGGGAGGTTGGTTGTTGCAAAGTCGAAGAGGAGGTAGAGGTTGATGGTGATTACCAGCGCTGCTGATGCCCACGCTAGCACCTGCACGGGGAGAGAGCAGGAAAAGAGGTAGAGGGAGACAGATCGAGAGATTAAGAGGTGATGACATGGGCTACTGATGCCCAGGCCAGCACTCAAGTGGGTGGAGGGGGGACGAAAGACGTTGAGACGTTCCAAGGAAGAAGGGATGTGGTGACGACAGAAGAGGGCGGTAGAGGTTGATGGTGATAGCGCAGCTGCATGGACTGCCACATACTCACACTTACTCAGTCTCACACGTGCTCACACTTACTCAGTCTCACACGTGCTCACACTCACACACTCTCGCAATGTTACTCACACCTCACCTTGACCGCTCCCTTGATAGCATATCGCCCCATGACGCGTGTTGAGGATGCGATTGCCAAGAGTGGGATGACAGCAAACGGCAGCTGCACGGACTGCAGCACGTTGAGCCCCTGGTTCAGCACGTCCAGTGAGGAGAGTGATAGCACTGGCAGCACATGGCGCTCACCTTGACTGCTCCCTTGACTGCAACACGTTGAGCCACTGGTTCAGCCCATCTAATTACCTCACCTTGGCATTACAACAGCACCTGCACTGCACCAACAGCAGATTGCACTCACCTTAACTGCCCCTTTAATAGCGTATCTCCCCATCACGTGTGTAGAGGATGCAATCGCGAGTAGAGGGATGACAGCGAAGGGCAGCTGCACGGACTGCAGCACGTTGAGCCACTGGTTTAGCACGTCCAATGAGGAGAGTGATAGCATGTGTGGTGCAGCTTGTGAGGGGGAGGCGAGTGAGGAGGGGAGAGAGGTGGAAAGGTGAATGGATGGGCCGGGAGAAAGGGGAGAGGAGAAAGAGGAGGCAGGGAGGGAAGTGTTTGTGAAAGGGAGGAGAGTGACGGGCATGGGGGAGGTTGAAAAGGAAGACGGAGAGAAAGACGTTTCTTCAAGCAATCTGCTTGCTGCTGCTGCAGTCGCTGCCCCTTCTACTGCACCCGCTTCCCCTGTCACTTGCACAGCCAGTCCTGCCAGGGGCGGTGACAGCTGCGGTGGTGAGTGCGGTGCGTGCGAGGCAGGAGAGGTGTAGAGCAGGGCGACGGCGACGGCGGGCACAATGGCAACGGTGCGGGTGACACACACGCGCACCCACTTGCGCACGTGCAGGTCTAGAAAGCCCGACATGACGAACTGGCCCGTGTATGTGCCTGTCATGGTTGATGATTGCCCCGCTGCTAGCAGGCCCGCTGCCCAGATGAACACCACTGGGAAGGTTGTTGAGCCGAAGGCTTGCTGCAAGGCCAGGGGTGGGCAGGGGTGGGGAAGGGTAGGCATGGAGGCGTGACGAACTGGCCCGTGTATGTGCCTGTCATGGTTGATGATTGCCCCGCTGCTAGCAGGCCCGCTGCCCAAATGAACACCACCGGGAAGGTGGTCGAGCCAAAGGCTTGCTGCAATGGAAGGTCAGGAGTGGGCAGGAGTGGGAAAGGGTAGGCATGGAGACATGACAAACTGCCGCGTGCATGTGCCTGTCATGGTTGATGATTGCCCCGCTGCTAGCAGGCCCGCCGCCCAGATGATCACCACTGGGAAGGTGGTCGAGCCGAAGGCTTGCTGGGGTGTTGTGGAGAGAAAGTGAGGGAGGGGGAAGGGAGAGGGGAGGAAGTGAGGGGAGAGTGCAGGTTTAGGAAGGAAGCTGGACATTTTGAGCAACTTTTGGGCGACTCTTAAGGGCCTCAGATGTCTCAAAAGGCGAGCTATTAGACGTTTTACATGTCTCGGAAGCAATTCTGAAAGTCCCCAAAACCCTCCCTCAGCACGTGTCCCCCCAACAGCCTTCTTAACCGCCACAAAACCCAGCCCCCCCCCCCCCCCCACACTTACTTGCAGGTACTCAGCAGCGTTGTCCAGCCCAATATCGGCAGCCCCTGGTTGGCCGTAGAAGAGGCGGGCGAAGACAGAGACGACGCAGAGGTTGACGAGGAAGGAGAGCAGCAGTGCGAGGGCGGACTCTAGCGTGAAGTAGAGGAGAGCTTCTGAGACGCGTGGAGGGGAGTGGCGGTCGATGGCACGCGATTGCACGAGGGCGGAGTGAAGGAAGATGTTGTGCGGCATGATGACCGCTCCTAGTATGCTCACTGCCATGCTGGTGGCTCCCTTGGGGATGGAGGGGACCAGGAGACCTGTGAGGGGTTGGGGCATGAGAGGCAGTGGGAGGGGAGAGAAGGACGATGTTGTGCGGCATGATGACCGCTCCTAGTATGCTCACTGCCATGCTGGTAGCTCCCTTGGGGATGGAGGGGACCAGGAGACCTGTGAGGGGTTGGGGCATGAGAGGCAGTGGGAGGGGAGAGAAGGACGATGTTGTGCGGCATGATGACCGCTCCTAGTATGCTCACTGCCATGCTGGTGGCTCCCTTGGGGATGGAGGGGACCAGGAGACCTGTGAGGGGTTGGGGCATGAGAGGCAGTGGGAGGGGAGAGAAGGACGATGTTGTGCGGCATGATGACCGCTCCTAGTATGCTCACTGCCATGCTGGTAGCTCCCTTGGGGATGGAGGGGACCAGGAGACCTGTGAGGGGTTGGGGCATGAGAGGCAGTGGGAGGGGAGAGAAGGACGATGTTGTGCGGCATGATGACCGCTCCTAGTATGCTCACTGCCATGCTGGTGGCTCCCTTGGGGATGGAGGGGACCAGGAGACCTGTGAGGGGTTGGGGCATGAGAGGCAGTGGGAGGGGAGAGAAGGACGATGTTGTGCGGCATGATGACCGCTCCTAGTATGCTCACTGCCATGCTGGTGGCTCCCTTGGGGATGGAGGGGACCAGGAGACCTGTGAGGGGTTGGGGCATGAGAGGCAGTGGGAGGGGAGAGAAGGACGATGTTGTGCGGCATGATGACCGCTCCTAGTATGCTCACTGCCATGCTGGTAGCTCCCTTGGGGATGGAGGGGACCAGGAGACCTGTGAGGGGTTGGGGCATGAGAGGCAGTGGGAGGGGAGAGAAGGACGATGTTGTGCGGCATGATGACCGCTCCTAGTATGCTCACTGCCATGCTGGTGGCTCCCTTGGGGATGGAGGGGACCAGGAGACCTGTGAGGGGTTGGGGCATGAGAGGCAGTGGGAGGGGAGAGAAGGACGATGTTGTGCGGCATGATGACCGCTCCTAGTATGCTCACTGCCATGCTGGTGGCTCCCTTGGGGATGGAGGGGACCAGGAGACCTGTGAGGGGTTGGGGCATGAGAGGCAGTGGGAGGGGAGAGAAGGACGATGTTGTGCGGCATGATGACCGCTCCTAGTATGCTCACTGCCATGCTGGTAGCTCCCTTGGGAATGGTGGGCACGAGCAGGCCTGCATGCATTAGGTGTGGAATGAGAGGAAGATATGGATAAAGTTGCGGGAAGATGTTGTGGGCATGATGACAGCGCCCAGTATGCTCGTTGCTCCATGAGGGATGGAGGGGACTAGGAGACCAGCAGGGATGGGCAACGGGCAGGGATTGCGAGGTGGAGAGTGGGGGAAGGGGCGGGAGACGAGAGCGGAGAGGGAAGAAAACGGGTGGGTCAGGAGGAGAGGGGGAGAAACAAAGGGAGAACATGACAGGGGGAGAGTGCGAGTGGCAGTCGAAGAGGCCTGCAGGGATGGGGTAGGTGCGGCTAGAAACCCATGAAATGAAACCATGTGATGGTGCTATCCATTGCCATGTGATGGTGCTATCCATTGCCATGTGATGGTGCTATCCATTGCCATGTGATGGTGCTATCCATTGCCATGTGATGGTGCTATCCATTGCCATGTGATGGTGCTATCAATTGCCCCATGCCACACCACCCTACGACATGGGGAAGTGACGCCCATGACACCATGACACCATGGCACCCATGAATGACACCATGACATCCATGGCACCCATGATACCCAATAGGTCCACCCACCATGTGCAATGGCCCCCGCGTCCGGTGCAGCTTCGAGGAACATGCGCGCGAAGGAGGCAGCCATGACAGCGATGAAAAGACCAAACAGGGCCTCGAGCTTGCGGATGCCAAGGTTTTCAAGAAAGAGGAGGAGGAAGCTGGGGATGCGGGGAGAGGGGAAAAGGAGGGGGCGGGGAGGAAGCACACGCATCTTGGAGTCGTGGCATGAGTGCGATGAAGAGCCCAAAGAGCGCCTTTAGCTTGCGTATGCCAAAGTTCTCAAGGAAGAGCAGCAGGAAGATGAAGGAGGGAGGGGGCAAGGCAAGGCAAGGAAAGGCAAGGCAAGGCAAGCCGGAGAGTGGATTGTGGCGCCTTGGCATGACGGCTATGAAAAGACCAAAGAGCGCCTCCAGCTTGCGAATGCCAAAGTTCTCGAGGAAGAGCAGCAGGAAGCTGTGAGATCGGGGAGGTGGCAGGGTAGGGAGGGGCAGCAAGGCATTGCTGAAGGGAAGGAGAGCGCGTTAGGCATCTTGGCCATGAGCGCATGGTCTCTTTTGAGAATTCTCAAAGTTCCATGAGCGCATGGTCTCTCCATGAAAATCCACTTGGAACTTTTCAAGCCACAGCAGGCAGCCCAAAGCAAAGAGTGAAGTGAACCAATCACACCTGCCCAGCCCCACTACAGGCGCACACACACCACAAGCGTAAATTGAACATGCTCGTTGTTGCTTGTTGTTCACGTGCGCTTTGCAGAACACCCCCAGCCCAGGGAAAGGCATATGAGGCATATGAGGCATAAGAGGCATAAGAGGCATATGAGGCATATGAGCATTGAGCCGACACACATGTTTATTGCTCATTGCTCACCTGTTGAGCCCCAACATAAGCACCCCCGCCCAGCAGGGGATGGCTTCTCTGATAGGATGCGCAGGGCGATGGCACAGCCTATGACCTCCTGTATGTCCGCCCCCACTATAACCAACTCTGTCGTACCCACAGCACCGCTACAGTCACATGCGCGTTTCACCTGTTGAGCCCTGTAACGAGCATGCCCGCCCAGATGAGAATAACCCCTGTTGAGAAAATGCGGAGTGTGATGGCACAACCAGCACGCCTGCCCACCCACATCCGCGCCTCACCTGTCCAGCCCCGTTATAAGCACCCCCGCCCAGATGGGGATGGCACCCCTGCTGAGGATGCGCAGGGCGATGGCGCAGCCTATGACCTCCTGAATGTCGGCGCCCACTATGGCCACCTCCGTCCACACACACAAGCCTACATGCACTCCATGCTCACTGCTCACCTGTCGAGCCCAGTTATCAGCACCCCTGCCCAGATGGGAATAAATCCTCTCGAGAGAATTCTCAGGGCGATGGCACAGCCGATGACCTCCTGAATGTCCGCCCCCACTATAGCGACCTCCGTCATCCCCCACAGCACCCAGCGCACTGGTGGTGAGTACTCCATTCGACACAGCTCCGCTAGATGACACCCCGTCACCACTCCCACGCGCGCTGCTGTGGCCTGGGTGGTTGTTGGTGGGGACGTGGAGTGGAGAGACATGTGCACAGAGCCACAGGAGGGTTAAACAGAGAGAAAAGTTTGGGGTTAGGGGTGTGTCACCACCCTGAATGTCCGCCCCCACTATGGCGACCTCCGTCATGCCCCACAGCACCCAGCGCACTGGTGGTGAGTACTCCATTCGACACAGCTCCGCTAGATGACACCCCGTCACCACTCCCACTCGCGCTGCTGTGGCCTGGGTGGGCATTTGATTGGTGTGGAGAGGGATGGGAAGAGGCCCGCGTGGAGAGGGTGGTAGAAAAAGGGTGAGGCGGAGGTCGGAGAGGCGGCCTGGATGTCCACGGACGACCACTAGGGCCACTATCCCGAAACTAAAATCACTTTTGAAAATTAACAAGAGTGATTTCAACATTGCCACTAGGGCCACTACTCCCATCCCATGCGATACAGTCACACAGCTCTGCCACGTAGCACCCTGTTACCATGCCCTGCCCACTCACGCTGCTAATGGTCTGCATGGGGATGAAGGTAGTTGGTGGAAGGGATGGGGGCAAGGAGAACGTTGCGGAGATGGATGCTGGGAGGGATGGGGATGGATAGAGGGTCTGGTCTGGACTGGACTGGACTGCCATCGCAGTTGCTATCGCCCCTCGGACTGGTCGGATGGTCAGAGAGGGGATTGGAATCACCCGCCCACTATCACCAAGACCGCGCGCGCTGCTCTGCTATGGCCTGCCTGCGTGCAACGTGGGCCACGGCAGGGGGATGTGGAATGAAGCGTGGACAGCGGCATGAAGAGAGCCGTGGTGCAGAACAGAGGAAATGATGGGGCGCTTGATGGGGCGCTTGATGGGGCGCTTGATGGGGCGCTTGATGGGGCGCTTGATGGGGCGCTTGATGGGGCGCTTGATGGGGCCCTTGCGACCCCTTCCAGTGTTACAGTTCTTTTGGAATGTTCATGTTGGCCAAGCTTTGAAGCAACCCGCGTCATACAAACAGGCAAGCAGAGATTTGGGTGGTGGGAGTGTGCATGAGCAATAATTCATTTGCCACGCTTGCTCATGCACACTCTTGCCACGCTTGCATCGCAACGCTTGGGACCTTACATCAAGCCGTACCTGCAGCAGCAGGCCAAGAGCGGTGGACCAGAAGAGAATCCAGAGCAGAGCATACCCCGTCTGTGCGCCTGCCTGCCACACAGCACACACATGCATGTTGCAAGGGGGGAAATGAATGCAGAACGCTTATCAGAACATTGTCACAGACAGACTGTACATGTATACCAGGCATGCTGCTTGCTCGCAGGTGACGAGACAAGCGGCGGCACTGAAGAGAATGCCCCATGCCCAACGCCCCACGCCCCATGCCCAACGCCCCACGCCCCATGCCTGTGGCCCATACCCCATGGCCTGACACTTTGTCATGAACACATCAAGGCAAGGCAGTGCAAGCACATGGGAACGAGTGCCGCCCGCACAATAACGAAGTAGGTCTAAGGCGAGTTACAAACAATTGAGGTAAGGAGCCTGAATTGAGGGATTGAGGGTGGAAGAAACGCGGATGCAAGAATAGATAGAGCAGTCCTAGGGCCAATTGGGGATTCAACCAACATACAACTTGCAACTAGAAGAAACATGCAACTTGCATTTTGCAACATACAACCTGCACCACAGGACGCACCTGCAGGTCGCTCTCCAGGTTGCCCGGGTCCAGGTAAGCGATGCTCATGAGGAAGCCACCACGTCACTGACCCCTCACCCTGCACCCCCATCCAGCCACCCAACCAGCCAGCAAGCAAGAGCTCACCTGTAAATCACTCTCGAGATTGCCTGGGTCCAGGTATGCTATACTCATGAGGAAGCCCGGACCCACAAAGATGCAGAACCGTCGCCACGAGAACCGGAACGTGTCTGCACAGGGGATGGGGTCCGGCGGGGTGTAGTGGGTGGGTGCATGGAAAGGGGTGCGAGAAGTGACACGTGTCTGTATGGGTCCAGGCGCATAGGAAGGGGGAGCAGGGGGAGAGGAGAGCACGGGAGGGCGGAGCAGAAGGAGGGTAGGGCAGGGGGAGGGGAGAGCAAGAAGGGGGGGGAAGAGAGGAGAGGGAGGGCAAGAACCAGCCTATGGCGGACCAACCAGTGTCAGCCGCCCAGCACCTCACCCTCCTTGCCGCCCGGCGACCGTAGCGGCAGGCTGTAGCGCGACACGTCGATCTGCTCCTCCGGCTCGTACGCTCGCTCGTCCTCCGCCTCCTGCAGGCTCCGCGCGCGCTCCAGAAACTCGCTCCCGTCCTCCTCCTCCCCTTCCTCCGCTTCGTCATTACATTCCTCCGCCGCCGCCACCGCCGCTGCCGCGGTATGAATGGTCTCCGCCGCCGCAGCGGTATGAATCGTCTCCGCCGCCGCAATTTTAATCTGGCCGTCTCGCGCATGTGATGATTCTATTCCGCCATTAGCGCGCGGACGGCGCGGGCCCGCACTGCCGCTCGGCGGCGGTGCCATGGCGGCGGCTTAGACGGTGGCCCACACCGAAGCGTATCTCACAATGGATGCGAAGGAGAAATCTTGAAGGAGAAATTTTGAAATTACTAGAAAAATAAAAGCTTAAAGGGTTGAAGGCAGCGGTACGGTGAAAAACATACGAGGGCCGTTTCGTTGGCAGCAACACGGCGGCTAATCTAGGCCGTTGCTCCAGCGATTGAGGTGGTTGTTGGGTGGCGAATTCTGCAGCAGAAATCAAGCAGGTGATTCTTGGGTGGGAGGTATGTTGAGCTTGTGCGTCAAGCCTTGGCCTCGTCGCGCTTCGAGAGAGGGACATCCAGCAATGGGAGGAAGGTGGTTTTGTTGTCTCGTCATATAGACAACCTCGTGTTTTCATTTATGTAGGCTGGAGTATTTCGTTTCTTAGTAAGAGAAGCTTATATTGAGCTCATACTTTCTAGCATTAGACTGCAAGACAAACTTTTCGTTTGAGATGGCATGACTTTTGTTATGGAGCAGTGTAACGTGGGTTAGCTGAATATATTACATAAACTATCCTCAGAGCTGGTTAACCACTCTGTCGCAAGACAAATCTGAGTGTTCATTCTTCCAATCCGTACTCTCCTGCTTGGTCATATTGTAGTATCATATCAGAGATACACATGCCTGATTGCACATGTTTTCACTAAAATACTGAAATAAAAGCATGTTACACCTTCTCAATTTGCATGTACAGGCTGATACATTTTGAGGTCACAGCAGCAGCTGCATAGAACTAGCCAATGTCGGAGCTGAGGTCATCATACCAAGCAGCAAAGCTCGGGAGCGGCCTGCCATCATGATGCTGATCCACCTCTATGCTCTGCTGGCTGTACAACGGCGCCTGCCATGGCGATTACCAATGCATGCACAACAGCTCATCAGTCAAATAGCTCACCAGTAGATCATGCACCCTTTCTGTTCACCGTGGGACACAAGTACGAGTGCACGTTAACAAGCTACAAAAATCCACGATGCAAACAAACATGCCATGTTCGGTGTGACTGCTGCAGGGGTAGGGGCAGGGAAGGACTGAGACAACTGATGCTGCTTGACTGCAGCACAGAGCAGACATTCATACTGTTTTTCATGATGCAAACGTACCATGTTTGGCGTGCCTGCTGACAGCATGTGCGCTGAATGCAGAGGCAGGGGCAGGGGAGCACCGAGATCAACCGATACTGCTGGAGTGAAGCACGCAGCAGCATGGTCGCTTTGGAACGGCAGGAACTGGGGAACCGGGTCCGAGATCGCCTGCTGCACTGCAGAATCCGCCTTCACAGGCTCCTGCAGGTGACAAAAAACACTCAATATAAGCTCCCCTCATTCAGTATAAGACTGTCGTGCGAAGACGAAATAGAGCGTATTATTGGACATTTTCTGAAATACCTCGGCTAATTGAGGGTCATCGGGTTGAGAGCTGAGCCCGTCGATATAGCGGCTGAGGTCAAAGTTGGTAACCGCGTTCAGCCCCCGGTACTTGACTGCAGCGATGTCGTATGCCTCTGCTGCTTCCTCCTGTGTGGCTGCACATATGCAACAAGCGATGGAATGAAGGCATATGATGAGTGTGGCAAGTCAAAGTTGGTAACCGCATGGAGCTTTCGATACTTGACTGCTGTTATGTTGTATGGCTCTGGTGCCTCCTCCTGTGTGGCTGCATGCAACTTACAGAATCAATAAGGCATGCCACAAGGCACCCCAAAACCAGACACCACATCACACGCCACTCCCCATACAGCACTCCCCACACACCACCCCTCACACACTGCTCCCCACACAACGTTCACCAAATGTGTCCAGGTAGAGTAGAGGTACTTGTCCGCCATGACACAATCCATAATCACTTCCCCAACACCACCAACATTCACCCACATCACTCCCCACACTCCCCGTCACCCCTGACGCAGCACTCACCGAAGGTCCCCAGGTACAGGTACTTGTTGCCCATCACTCGCCCTATGCGCGCCTCCCACCGCCCGTGTTGGTGGTGCCTGTTATACGGCACAAGGAGGCAGGCAGGAAGGAGTCAGGCACTACATCGCAGCACAGGCATTGCAGCCCCAGCGCCCTCCAAACCCAACCCCTCTCCCCCGCTGAAGCGGTCCCCAATCGCCCCCCCAGCGCCCCGCACCCCACCTGTTGCCTGCTACCCCTATGATACCTGGTGACTTGGTAACTCCTGGTAACTGGAGACCTGGTAACTCCTTGGCGAGCGCCTCGCACCTGCTACCTACAGCCTGTACCATACCTCATCAAGGCTCCTACCTTCTCCACTGCCCTTATTCTACCTGGTGACTGCGTTCCCCACCTGCTTCCCATCCCACAGCCTGTACCACACCTTTTCAGCCCCCCTAATGCCTCTAGCGCCCTTCTTTTCTTGTACCTGGTGACCCCTCGGTACTTGGACGCCCCTCTGGAGAAGCCACAGCTCTTCCTGCACGCCCAGGCGAGAATGGAAGGAGAGGCAGCATGGCATAAGCAGGGGAAGCAACCCTCAGCAACCCTTCCGCATGGGCCTATAGAGCAAACACAACGCCCCTTGCACTGCACACACACCCCCGTGATCAGGAGCAGCCTTGGCCTCTGACGCCAAAGTTGTGCCCACTCTGGGATTCGAACCCTGACCTCCTGCATGCCACTTGCTGCATGTCAGGGCCTCCACAGCTTGCCTGATGTACCCTCTGGAAGGGCCCTTCCCTTCCCATGAATGTGAAGGTGATCGCTGTGCTGCTCTTTTTTGGAAGTGTATGGCAACCAGAACAGGTGCATGGAAGTGCAGTGGAACATGTCGCATGGGGCGTGGGGCATGGGGCATGGATGGAGCACGGAGCACGAACGATATGAGCGTGTGGCATTGCATACCTGCGGATGGAAGCAACATACTCGTACTTGGAAACCCCCTCCATCTCTCTCAGCTCCCTCTCGTAATTCTCAACCTGAAGGTCCAATAAGACGACACAAGGATGCAATAGGGTTAGTAGAAGGAGGGCACATGAGAGGGAAAATGGCGAGGCAGGGACGGGTGGGGAGAGAGAGTGAGAAGCAGTTAAGTGCAGAGCACATGAGAAAATAAATGAGAGTAAACGGGTCAAATAAAAATAAATGAATAACCCAGGCATGTGAAACACTGGGAAGTTGAACAGCAATGGCTGGCACCCTGGTGCAGCTAATTTGTGTGTGGGAAATGAACAGCATGCAAATTGTGCTGCAAAGCTGTCACGTGTGTGTGACGTACAGGGAAGTTGGCAGCAGCGGTGGGACCCCAGAATTGAGAGCAGCAAGGTTGTGTGCGGTAAGGGAAGTGCATGAAAGATGGGCTAAGCTAACCAGTCACACAAGTCCTGTGACATACAGGGAAGTTGGTAGCAGCGGTGGGACCCCAGTACTTGAGAGCAGCAAGGTCATACGCCCTGGCAGCCGTTTCATCGTCATCGTACCCTCCTGCACTTGCAACATGGCGAGCTGCGTCATACTCATTCCAGTGAGAAGAGGATTTCAAGCTGGTAGTTGATGCACCATTGGGGTGGGGTGGCTCGTTAGACCAGCAAATTACGTACCCAAGTAGACTGCAGGACAGATGCAGGCAGACAGCGCAACGGCCAAGAAAAACGGTTAGAGAGTGGATATGTGGTGTGGCAGTTATTCAGAATACAGAAACCAAGAAACTCAGGCAGCCCGAAATCCAAGAGCGGATGCACCTTGGCGGCCTCTCTTGTTGGTGCCTTCCTTGGGGCACGAGTTATCCCACAGGTGAGCCTCATAGCGCCCCGTCCAGCGATGCCTGGCAAGCAACACAGACACACGCGTTTCACCAGTGAGACCTGATGAATATTCTATTGTAACAAGGGGACATGACCCAGAGAAAGACGATAAATAAGAAGGAACCAGTTCTAGCCTTGAAATATGTTCCATCGGGGAAACGAGCTAGAAAGAGCTTCAGGCGAGCCCCCACCTTGTGACTCCGCGGTAGATGGAGCTCCTCTGGCTACTCACACCACCTCCCCGCTGTCTTGTCGCCGCCTTCCCCTCAGTCAGTGGAGGGACAGCACCACTGAGACTGCCAGACCCCCCCTGACTGCCGGTAGTCACAGCCGCGTTAGCAGTTGCAGCAGTGGCAGGAGGAGGGAGGTCTCGAGCGGCTTCCGCATTGCGTCCTGGCCATGGAACGGTAGAGCGATCATGAGGTGTACTGATCGTAGTAGAGAACAATGGCTGACATGAACAGGTGGTCTCAGCACAGCCAAAGAGTCATGGCGGTCGCACCATAACATCGCAGGAGCTGATGTCAACACAGCCAACAGATTACGGCAGATGCAACATGAAAGAGAAGCAGCGCTGGTCTCAACACACCTCATTGCTCTCATGATGATTGCATCGTGACAGAGCAGTGGGGCTGCTGTCAGCACACCCAACCCTAGGCTGTTTCCCAGAGAAGGGGAGCGCAGAGGAGAGTGGGCGACCTCACCTCGTCGCTGCAGAATGGCTGACTGCTGCCTCAGGCGGCTCTTCTTGTTCGACATTGACGATTTACTCTCTTTCGAGAATTCTCAAAAATGTTTTCCATGTGGCTGATGGCTGGCCTCACCTCGTCGCTGCAGAATGGCTGACTGCTGCCTTAGGCGGCTCTTCTTGTTGGACATTGACGACCGGCGACTCTCCCTTTCACGCCTCTCCCTCTCCTGCGTCTCCCTCTCAAACCTCTCTCGCCTCTCCCCCTCATCAAGCGTCTGCTGCTCAAGCGCTTCGCCCTCTAACGCGTCTCTCTCTAACGCGTCTCTCTTGAGCGTTTCTCTCGCGTGCTTCTCGCCGGCGAGTGGTGGAGGACCAGGGCAGTACCCAGCGGGAGCTGTACTACTCTCAGTGAAGAAGCACCCGAAGGCCGGGAGAGAGAAAAAAGGATCCTCAAATTCCAGGTTTCCGCTGTCCAACGAAGCCATGAGATGCAGGATGTGGAAGGAGACTGCTACGATCCAGGAACGAGCCACGGACCATTAATCCTCCTTTCTTTCCTCCTTCTGACTCCAAAGTTTGCGAAAGTGTTCTTCAGTCTACTTCCTGGCAGGAGGACAGCGCAGCAATCGTCGCCTGGAAAGATTCGCCTGACGTTTTGAGTTCTTTTGTGAGCATGCTTGGAGGGGTTGTGGAGGGTCGGTCAGCGTGAATGTTCCCTCAGAAAGCGGAGTGCTGAGCTCGCAAACGCTCTCCATCGCCCCTGGTAACACCGCCACTGGTGGAGCGACCATACGCGGAACGAATTCGCACGCGAGATTGTGTTTGACTGACGCTGTCAGCACGAGATAGAGTGACAGGTCTCGTAAGACGCGCCGCTCCGCGCCAAAGAATAGAAACGCTTCCTGCATTTAGGCAGCAAATCCCAAGATTCGCTCCCCTGGGTAGTGTTAGGAATTCCACCCATGCCCGTTCAAGCCTGGTGAGCCTAGCTCGCGAAGACTTGTTTTGTTTGGTCGCGCTAAGCCGTTCGATAACGCGCACGGATCGATCGGACGTACGAAACGCAGTCGCAGCTGCAACAAGTTGACGGACGACGACACTCGCATGTCCTGAGAATGTCGCGACTCGTGATTCATTTCGACTCGCTGCGGTGCAGTCATGGGGAATGACGCCCAGCAGCGTTTCGTTGCTACTCGGTCTCGTCTTGGGAAAAATATCTCGAGGCGCCTCGGTCGAGCCATTCCCTTGGAGGCAGTGGGGTTTGCGGAATGCCCTGAGGCATGGCATTGGGAACTGGCGTAATCCAGTCCAACGGTCAGATTGCGGAAATTACGGGCGTCATGCCCGTCCGTCAACCCTCTCTGGCCGACACCAAGGGAAATGGGGGTGGTGTTGCAGCGTCATAGGTATTCGAAAAGTTCATTGCTCAATGCCTTACCCAACCTCTGTGAATGTCATATGGAACGTTGTGAACCGCAAAAGCGCTCGTTGGACCACATATCGACGAACAAACTTTCGAGGAATGACTTCAGCTACACCTCACACCGACTTCTTACAACAAACAAACAATATTAACATTGTGTTTGTGGATTGGTATTGGTAACGGGTTGTATTGCGACGATGACAAATTTAGTTTCTGCTGGTTTTCAGCAGGAGCTGCTTTCTGCACGACCTCTAGAATCCGCCCTATTTGGCCTCACAGTCAGCTTTCAATCCCGCTAAAACCGCCCGCAATGGGGATTCCTTCCGAGCAGTCGCAAGGCGCGGCGGCAGTAACTCTCACCGCTGGGAGCGACGTATCGTCGAGAACAGCGATAGCCGTGGCCAACTGGTGCAAGGCACGTGGCGGTCTCGCAGTGGACGTTGTGCAGGCCGCAGCCGATCAGGTACTCTAGCTAAACAGTTTAAATAAACGCACGTTTGGATCTTAGAACCTCCAGTGTCACCGTACCGCTTCCGAAGGCAGTTACATATTCCGGTCGCGACGCGAACGTCGTAGCCATTTGCCGACGGATAGTCAGGCCGTACAAAAACCAGTGTTCGCTGTACCTCATCGGGCTGGGCCGTGTCGATGCGGCTTATCGCCAGGCCGTCCAGATGCCGGTGCATGTTGGCCCGATCCGTTGGTTGAGATGCGAATCATCGCTCTCGCAGTTCTCCACCAGGAATATGGTCCATGCGCGTGAGGTAGAGGGTTTTTGACAATCCCCCTGTTAGCCGAGGTGTCACAAGGTGGGGATTTGAGCCTTCTGTGAAATGCGAAGGCTTGCGTCGGCGGGTACTATAGAATCTGCGTGGGATCCCCACTGCCGGGGTTCCCTGCGAGAAACGATCAGAACCCTTTTCCCTCTTTCCTCGTTCCCCTTTGCCCTCTTCCCCGTTTCCGTGTTCCGTTTTCCCCTTTCCCCCCATTCCCCTTCCAATTCTCCTGTTTTCTCGCCTCCCGCCACCCTTTTCCTTGTGCAGGCCGCCCCCTCCCTCGTCAGCGCGGGCAGCAGCCAGCCTGTAGCGGGCGCTACAGCCGTGTGGGCAGCTCTCGCGCTGGCGGCAGGAGGCGACTCCGCCAGCGCGCTGCTGGGGAGGGATGGCGCTGCACGCGCTGAGGTGAGGGCAGGGGCAGATGGCGTGCGCGCAAAGGGGCAAGGCGGGCGGGTGTTTTAGCAGGGGTGGTTGTGCCGGGGATGTGGTGTGGGGCGGATGGCGCCATGTGCGCAGAGACCAGGGAGTTGTGCTGGGGGATATGGGGCGAGGCGGGGGTTGTTTTGGGGGAGGGCGGATGGCTACACACGTGCTGAGGAGGGGGGAGGAGCTGATTAGGTGATGGCCCCCAAGGGGGTGTGTCGGGGAGGGTTTCAGTGGGGTTGGGGAGATGGGGAGTTGGGGAGATGGGGAGTTGGAGAAAGAGCGACAGAGTAGTGCAAGAGCAGAGGGTTCGACATGTGTGTGAGGGGGGAGAGGGGGGGGGGGGGAGGTTGGAGAGCATGTAAGACAATGGCATCTTTACCTCTCCACTTCCCCCATTCTTCTCTATCCAATCGCCACCCCTTTCCCCCTCATCCACCCCAACAGGTGACCCAGTGGCTTCGCCATCCCTGGGTTGTCGGCTCCCTGGCCTCCCTTGCCACGTCAGCATGCCCGTCAGCATCCACGTCAGCTGCTGTGCTGGACCCTCTCCCTCGCCTGCGTGCCCTCAACGCCTATCTGGCTCCGCGCTCTGTGCTCGTGGGGCCAGGTGTCGCAATCACATTGGCTGACATTGCAGTCTTCGGTGCTGTTCATGATGACGTGGTGGGTTCATGATGACGTGGTGGGTTCATGATGACGTGGTGGGTTCATGATGACGTGGTGGGTTCATGATGACGTGGTGGGTTCATGATGACGTGGTGGGTTCATGATGACGTGGTGGGTTCATGATGACGTGGTGGGTTCATGATGACGTGGTGGGTTCATGATGACGTGGTGGGTTCATGATGACGTGGTGGGTTCATGATGACGTGGTGGGTTCATGATGACGTGGTGGGTTCATGATGACGTGGTGGGTTCATGATGACGTGGTGGGTTCATGATGACGTGGTGGGTTCATGATGACGTGGTGGGTTCATGATGACGTGGTGGGTTCATGATGACGTGGTGGGTTCATGATGACGTGGTGGGTTCATGATGACGTGGTGGGTTCATGATGACGTGGTGGGTTCATGATGACGTGGTGGGTTCATGATGACGTGGTGGGTTCATGATGACGTGGTGGGTTCATGATGACGTGGTGGGTTCATGATGACGTGGTGGGTTCATGATGACGTCGCGGGTCACTGGGCATGGGCGTGGGAATATGCATGGGAATGGGCATGGCATGGGCATGGGCATGGGTATGGGCATGGGCATGGGCATGGGCATGGGCATGGGAATGGGCTTGATGGAGTGATTACAAGAATTTGAAGTGCGTGAGAGGCCAGTATGCATGCGATGGTGAGCACATGCTCATGCAGATAAGCACATGCCACACTACATGCACATGCTGGCGTGCTGGCGTGTACACCACTTTCCACTCTCTGCGTTTCTGCCTTTTCCTCCTCCCCCACCTGCCTTCGTGCTCCTCCCTTTCCCTTATCTCACGTGTGTGTTCCCTTTGCAGCTACTAGTGACGTCGCGTGACAGGGACCAGCTGCCTCATTCATGCGCTGGTTAGGCCTTGTGCACAACAGGGGGCACAGGCACCATACACCAATCCCTGTGCCTCTGCCTTCCATTTCGTTTCCCTTTTCTGCCTGTTTGTTTTCTCCTCGCAGCTGCTGGTGGCGCCGTGTGACAGGGACGAGTTGCCACACCTGATGCGGTGGATCGACCTGGTGCAGCACAAGGGGCATCACTGTCAAACGTGCACCACACACTAATCCCTGTCCCTCTGCCTTTCCATGTCCTGTTGTCCGCCTGCTTGTTGTTCTCCTGCAGCTTCTAGTGACGCCGTGTGACAGGGACGAGTTGCCGCACCTGATGCGGTGGATCGACCTGGTGCAGCACAAGGGGCATGTGGGGCACACCTTCTCGCACATCACTGTCAACACTGCCAAGTTCGACCCGCCTGTGAGTGCATGAAGGGCAGAGGTGCATGCAGGCAAGAACGCAACACGCGTGCAAGCACGCACGCATGAGTGCAAGGATGCGTGCAAGAAAGCACACAGCTGATGCACATGGTCCACAAGGGGCATGTGGGGCAGACCTTTTCCCACATCACTGTCAACACTGCCAAGTTGACCCTCCTGTGAGTGCGTGGAGAGGGCAGACGTGCACGCAAGCAAGTGCGCATGCATGCAAGCAAGCTCTCAAGCATGCATGCAGGCAAGCGCACAAGCAGGGGAACTCACTGGTGTTTTCCTCCTGCTGCATTAGCTGTTATGGCTATTCTCATCATTGCCGTTGTCTTGACTCGTCTCGGTTTGAAATGACTTGCTGTGACGACTTCCGAAACGCTACACTTGTTTGGACTTTCCAGCTGAACCAACCCAACATGTGATGCTCGATTACATGTGCTGCATGACATGGCATGTATGGCATGTGAGGCTTGGGTGCCATGTACTGTCTGGGTGGCACATGTGCATCCATGCGTGTGTGGGATGGGATGTATGGCATGGCATGCTCTTCTTGTTCCACCATACCAGGCACCGGCCCCTCCTCCTGCCAAACCTGCAGCGCAGCCGATCCAGTCATCAGGTTCGGTAGGCTCCAAGCCTGCCGCAGCAGCAGCGGGGAAGGCAGCAGCAGCGCCTGCTGAGAGTTCAACCGCAGCAGGTGCTTCTGCAGCAGCCCCAGCTGCTGCCCCTTCCACCACTGCAGCGCCACAGGTGAGGGGCGGCTGTTGTGTGTTGTGGACACACATGGTTATGGTTCGAGTACAGGTGGCATGCGAGCTGTCTTGCCAATGCTGTTGCAGCACACCTGGTTTGTGAGCTTTGAGATTCTTAGGATATCTTGCTATCCTGCAGCTCACCTGTTGGCTGCTGTTGTGAATTCAAGCTCAAATGAACAGGGCATGTGACCTTGCTGCTGCTACTGCTGCTGCTGCTGACCATGCGAGCTTGATTGAATCGAAACCATTGCATCTTTCAGACCTCACTTCCCTCTCTTTCCACCAGGGTGACGCGGCAGGGAAGGGGAAGGGCAAGGAAGAGAAGAAGGGCAAGGGGGAGGAGAAGAAGGGAGAAGCGAAGGAAGGGGCGGGTGCAGGGGGGAAGGGGGCGGACGTGAGTGTGGGCATACTGGACATACGAGTGGGGCAGATCAAGAAAGTCTGGAAACACCCCAATGCAGACGCGTAAGCACCTCTTGCTCCCAGACTGTGGCTTCCCACTCTATCTGAAACACTTTTGAGAATTCTCCGAAGTGCCCCTTGCGCTCTGCCTTTTGTTCCCAGCCTCCCAGCCTTTTGCCCCCAGCCCTGTGCCCCCAGCCAATAGCTTTGTTTGTTTGTTTGTTTTTTTTTTTTTTGGGTTTTTCTTTCAAGAAACTTTGTTGCTGCAGTAGCATGTCACCACTCCTCACGCCAGTCACCTCACCTCACCTCACCTCACCTCACCTCACCTCACCTCACCTCACCTCGCCTCACCTCACCTCACCTCACCTCACCTCACCTCACCTCACCTCACCTCACCTCACCTCACCCCACCTCCCCTCACCTCACCTCACCCCACCTCACCTCACCTCGTCTCGCCCGCCCATCCCTTCCCCCCCATCCCCTCCCCTCCCTTACCCTCCCCTCCTCTCCTCTCCTCTCTCCTCCTTTCCTCCCCTCTCCTTTTCTCTCTTCTCCTCCCCTCCCCTCTCCTCTCCTCTCCTCCCCTCTCTACTCCTCACCGCACCTCGCTTCTCCCCTCCTCTTGTCTCCTCTCCTCCTCTCCCCTCCCTCCACCCCTGCAGGCTGTACGTGGAGGAGATAGACGTGGGCGAGGGCAGTGCATGCATGCAAGTTGATGAGTGATCAATGTGCATGACCCTCTCCTCTCCCCTCTCCCCTGCGCGCAAACTCTCTCTCCTGCAGGCTGTATGTGGGGGAGATAGATGTGGGCGAGGGCAGTGTGCGGCAGTCAATTAGTGCGGTGCCTACTGTGATCACATCCACATGCCTTATCCCCTCCCCTCTCCTCTCCCCTCCCTCTGCCCCTGCAGGCTTTACGTGGAGGAGATAGATGTGGGCGAGGGCAGTGTGTGCAAGTTAACGAGTTGGGTGGCTCCTATGCTTTACTGCGTGCAAGCATGTGTCCCGTCTCCTCTCCCTTCCCTCCACCCCTGCAGGCTGTATGTGGAGGAGATAGACGTGGGCGAGGGCAGTGTGCGGCAGGTGGTCAGTGGGCTGGCCAAGTTTGTCACAGAAGATGAGATGATGGTGGGTGTGGTGTGGAGGGACGGGAGATGACGGTGAGAATGTTAGTCTCGGTGTGGCTGAACGCACGTCAAGTGAGCTGGTCTGGCAGTGTGCGGCAGGTGGTCAGCGGGCTGGAAAAGTTCGTCACAGAGGACGAGATGATGGTCAGTGGGGAGGGGGGGGGGTTGGTTTTTGACGTGTTTTTTAAAGAGTCTGACTGAATTCGCAGTGAGCTGGCGGGTGGTGAGCGAAGTTTGTCACGGGAGGTTGAGATGATGGTCAGTGGGGAGGGGGGAGGGAAGGTGGTGGTGAGAGGTTGGTGTATTGGTGTGGCTCAAAGCACATCAAATCAAACGAGCCGGTGTATCAGTGTGCGACAGGTGGTGAGTGGGCTGGCCTATTTCGTCACGGAGGAGGAGATGAATGTGCGTGGGGAGGGGGGGATGACGGTGGGAACAAGAGAAAGAGTGCGATGATGGGAAGTGGGGAGGACAAGAAGAGGTGGTGGAGAGGTGGTGATGAGAGAGGTAGTGGAGGTGAGTGAGCTGGCAGCCCTATCCTATCCTCCTGCCGTTCTTCCTCTTCTCTCCTTCCCCTCTGTCTCGTGCCAGCAATCATTAGTTTTCGCCATGTGAGTGGGCAGGGCGTGTGGGAGGTGCGTAGGCAGGGAGAGCGAGAGGGCGAGAGCAGAGCATTCACCTGCAGCTTTTCCTCTTCCGCAGCCCTTCCTCTTCCGCACCCCTTCCTGTTCCCGCCATATGCACGTGCCTGTGTGCAGGGTATGTGGGTGGTGTCACTGTGGTGATGCACAAAGAGCAAGAGCGAGAGGGTGGTGGGAGTGCAAGGCACTGACTCGTGGCGTGCCATGACTGTGTGCAGGGCATGCGGGTGGTGGTGCTCACCAATGTGAAGCCGGGGAAAGTGAGGGACGTCGTATCGGCCGGCCTGGTGCGTAGCGTACATGTGGTCTCTCTGTCCTTTGTGTTCCTGAGAAACGTGGTATCTTGTTGAAGAGCAGTTGTAGCATATGCATCTGTGGGGGTCATTCATGTACCTGCCGTGCAGGTGGTCTGGCTGTCCTTTCTGCACCTGACTGGTCTGTGCAGGTGGTCTGTCTGTCCTTTCTGCGTGGTCATCACACCAGCCGCCATCTCACTGCCACCTGATCCCCCCGCACCTCTCCCCTCATCCTCCCACTCCCACCCCACCTGACTGACCTTCCCCCCTCCAACTGCTCTCGCCTCACGTGCCCGTTCCTCCCCTCGCATCCCCGTTCATCACAGGTGCTTTGTGCGTCCAACGAGGACCACACGGTGTGCCGCCCCGTGCAACCACCCGAGGGGGCTGCCATCGGCGAGAAAATAACCTTTGCTGGGTGAGGCGGGGCGGGGAGGAAGGGCGAAATGAGGGAGAGAAGGGTGGCAATGGAGAGAGGGAGGGAAGGGGGAGGGAGGGAGGGAGGGAGGGAGGGGGGGACGGAGGGAGGGAGGGAGGGGGGGACGGAGGGGGGGATGGAGGGGGGGAGGGAGGGAAGGGGAAGGGGAAGGGTGGAGAGGGGAGGGAGGGAGGGAAGGGAGGGGAGGGAGGGAGGGAAGGGGAAGGGTGGAAACAGTTGCAGGCCTTCAATCACAAGTGAGATTTTGAAGTGTGCAGGGAGGCTGTTCATTGCATTGCTATTACCTCCTTCCCACTCGCTTCCTCTACTCCCAACAGCCCTTCTCATTCCCTTCTCTTCGTTGTCCAGCGGCCCTACTCATCCTCTTCCCACTCATTGTTCCTCCTCCTGCTGCCTCCCCGACCATCCACAATCACTGCATCAGGGACTTTATTGCCAGCCTGCAGGGGTGGCCTCTGCTCACCATGTCACCCATCCCTTCTTCAATTCATCCTCCCCTGCACCTGCCCAATATCTCATTCCACCTGCCCACACCCTTCCTTCCCACCTGTTCATGCCCGCATCACATCACACAGAGTGGACGGCAAGCCAGAGGAGGTGCTAAACCCCAAGAAGAAACTCTTTGAGAAGCTACAGCCGGTACGTACCTTGCTGCTACAGCCGGTACGTACCTTGCTGCTACAGCCGGTACGTACCTTGCTGCTACAGCCGGTACGTACCTTGCTGCTACAGCCGGTACGTACCTTGCTGCTACAGCCGGTACGTACCTTGCTGCTACAGCCGGTACGTACCTTGCTGCTACAGCCGGTAGGTACCTTGCTGCTACAGCCGGTATGTGCGTTGCTGTTACAGCCGGTATGTGCGTTGCTGCTACAGCCAGTATGTGCGTTGCTGCTACAGCCATTGCGTGGCTTGCTGTTACACCCGGTATGTGCCCCCCCTTTCCCCCTGTGCACACCTTTCCCCTCTCTTGCCCTGCCTGTGCGCCCCTCCAGTTTCTGCGCACGGATGGCGCAGGGGTGGCCATGTTCCAGGACACGCCCATGATGACGTCAGCAGGGCCGTGCACATCCACGGTTGTGAACGCAAGTGTCAAGTAGGGCATGCAATCTGGATGGCTTCAGAGTCTCGGTATTGAGCTGAACTCATTTGTGGACTCTTGTCTTGAGCGGACAGGATTCCTCCGTAATGTGCTCTGTTGTGCAAAAAAGAACTTGGATCTAAGTTCGTAGTGGAAGGCTGATGGCTTTCACTGACATAAGACACTGGACCAGAGAAAATGACATTATGCACATGCATGCTCTGTTGCGCAGAGGTTTTATGGTAGTGTTTATACTTTGCCGAACCTATTGTAGGAAGCTCTTGAATTGAATGGAAGGGAGTAGTGTACGGATCATGGGGCAGTTTGGATTGTTTGTTTCACACACGATTGGTGTTTATCAAGTTCACTCAATAAAGAAGACACAACCAAAGGGCAGCATGGGAGTCCCACTAGCCGTGCATGCTATGCTACTCTGTTCGCACCGCACTTCACAGCACATCCATCCTGAAACCTACTTTCCGCACGAACATCCTGCGCCTGAGTATTTCTCTCCGCAGCCGCAGCTAGCGCCAGACACGCACTTCACTCCCCTAGTCTCTCCGCAAGCGCACCCTCCGCCAGAGCAGTTCTCCCCGCAGCGGCAGTTAGCGCCAGACGCGCACCCGCCACTTCCGCCCTCTCCGCAAGCACACCCCGCGCCTGCACAACTCTCCCCGCAGCTGCAATTCATCCCAAAAAATTTGGCCGCAAAAAGATGCAGCAAGGTCACCTTTGGGATACCTACCAGTGGGTAACCCAAAGGATTGAGTATACGTTTCCTCCGGGTCACCTCAAAGTTCGTTGTGACCTCAAGGTTACCCACAGAGGTGACCTACAGGTAACCTACAGAAAACCGTCATGTCACCGCGATGATTCCGCTCCCACGTTGCTGGAGCCAATCAAACGCCACCGTCAATCGCGCCGCGAACAATAATTCAAATACTACACTCCTGCTGTACACTCAATTTAATTAGTTTACAGGTTACTAGGCAAAATAATTTTTAATCAATCGTGTTTCTCTTTTACGGTAATAACAAATGGACAGGACAACACAAGGTGACTTAGAATTGCATATAAAATAAGCATTGCAGTACATGGATTGAAACAACACATGTCATACACGACACGCCTAAACAGTGTGCTAAAACGACGGGTAAAGTAAAACCAGAAAAGGTCAATGAGCATCAAATGGCAGCAAATCAACAGAAGTTTCCTGCTTCTCAAACCAGTCAACTTAATTTCCTGCCACATTAGAGCAGTGAAAACAACAAGCAGTGAAATGTTAGCAACGAGGAAATGGAATGAGGGAAAAATAACGTTTTACGCCAGCGTCTAGTAAACAGAACTTACCAGAAAGAAGAGTCTTTGCATGTAGGAGGCTTGATTTCGCCTGCACAAGCACATCGCTAGTAACTGGAAACAATAGAAAACGACATTCCACGCCAGCAAAGTTTACTACAGAGAGTATACTTACCAGAAAGTGACTTGGCAGGTAAGAATCTTGGTTACGCTTCACCTGCAACAGCACTGCGCTAAGGCAACCATCGCACAGAATGGCAGAGCTAAACGGGTGGTTGACAAATACAACATTGGCGCTGGGAAAAAACGCCATGAAACATAACGGCGATGACAAACAGGTGACTCACTGGCGACTTGCTTACCTCGTATGCATAATCTATATCTCCAACATGAGCGCCGGCACGACGGTAGGTGCTGCCAGCAAAGAAACACACAAGCTCGAGGAAACAGTTAAAAACTGACGATAGAATAACTACTAGTCATTCACGCCTCCAATCGCCAGGTTTAAGACGTTGCTTAATCAGAAATGGAATGACGAGATACTAAGCTATTTATCGGTCACCCTATTTCCCCAGAAATGTCTAGGAAACTGAAGTATCGGAAAATGCGGACATGGCGGCGAGTTAAGAGAAGTGGTCACTCGACACATTGACCACACTGAAGAATGAGGGAAGTGGGTTAGATGAGGCTGTGAAATACCTCCGAGTGACCGAATGGCTGAAGTGACTTGCACAACTTTGATTGGTGCACGAAATCCTGGCTGCCACCTAGCGAAACCCATCATGTAAAATTCGATATGGTGAGCTGCGTTTGCACGCTTGGAGATGGTAAATCTACTGTGCTGCTGTAAAAGCATGTACAAAACTGGCTCGGGGTCAGCCTCGGATGCTGAAACCAATTGACCAGCCTCGTTCCGAGGCAGACGGGGTTTCCTCGGGGTGTCCTCAAACTTTTGCTTCATCCTGATTCGTCAGTTTCTGATTTCCGAAACTGGGCGAGTTTGTAATATATTTCGCGGATGTCGTTGTTCCCCTCATGTTTCCTTTTGGGGTCTTCAGGGGAACTATGAGGTAACCTCGCATATGATGCCCCAAGGTAACCCTCAATTTCGAACCGATTTGGGCGTTCGAATTTTTGGGATGTTAGCCCCGGACGCGCACTTCCCTCCCGCCTGCCCTCCGCACGAGCAGCCTGCGCCGGAGCCGCAGCAGCAACTCTTGCCAGAAGCGCAAGTGCCGGCGCTCGCGTTACTTCCGCCGCATCCTGCGCCGGTTCCTCCGGCGCTGGCAGAGGAACGGCACGTGCACGAGTCGCACGCGCAGCCCGGGCCGCACCTGCACGGGGCGCCGCTGCTGCAGGCGCAAGTGGCGGCGGTTGTCGTCTTGCAGGCGCATGCGTTGTTGCGCGCGGAACAGGCGCAGGCGCTGCCGCACGCGCAGTTGTTGGTGGGAGCCATTAGGATTCGAGTATTGAACTTGAACGTAGAAGATGAAGCGCAACTAATCTTAGCTTGTCAGCAGCGGGAAGTCGAGTGAAGTTGGGAAACCCTAAACAGCTGATCGACCTGCGGTGTTTGATCAGGAATGCTAATCAAAGCGGTAACGCTTAGTAAGCAAGAGAGTAAGTGTGGTTGGTGATTGACAAATTGTTGAGTGACGATGGGGAGGGGAGGACTCCCTATATACTACTGCTGATGCTCACCCCATGCACGCGAATTTGCCTTGCGCCGGATGGATACGCTGCACCCGAGGTCGTTTCCCCAGCCTTATGCACCTACATTACAAGCGCGTCGCGTGGTTATCAACCAATAGTAACGAACAGACCAAAGTCAAACTAGGTACAGACCGAAGTCAAGCAGAAGAGACTGAAGTCAAACTAGGTTACAGATCTTGTTTATAAGCACATGCGAATCCTTTTTAGCTAGCTGCGAATTGACGAAACTTATGCGAAATGCTCGTGACAGCTTATACGCCCCCTTCGTAAGGCAACCGGGAGGGGCTCAAACAGGCATCAGGTGTACCGTGGTGTGGCCGATGCGACGCGTGAACCGCAATTCAAATTTGAGCGACTCGGCGGGTAGCTTGCGGCACAACCATTGGATAGCGTGCTGAGTTGGGTTTGAACACTCCAACGGTGATCCAAGCTTCTAGAACGTTCGATAGGCGCTGTTCGTTGCTTCCGCTTTCCTTCCTCGGAGGCTCGCGGAAGCAGGTAACCTCGATATGACGAGGTTTCTCTGCTGTGTAAGAAGCTGTTGGCTGGCAGAACATTGAGTTGAGGTCATACATCTCAGACAAAAAAAATCAGTGTGCAAAGCATACGCCTCTGTTTGATTATTATGCAGTTGTCAATCACTTCCAATCACTTAATCAGTCATGTACAGCTCTACTGTACACTTTATACAAGAAAAATGTGAAGGGACTAACGCAATTCCCATGAGCTATCAATATGTATCCATGTCTTGCATGTTCTTATCTAAAAGCCTCAAGTCAAACAAGTGGCGCATGGTTGGTCGACCATGTGGACAATTCCAAGGTGACTGCAACGTTGACAGCTGGCACAGGATCTGCAAAACCAAGCAAAAGTGCTACAACAATTGGTCAATATTGACACAAGGAGACAACAAAATTAGAGGATTAATTTTATAAGCGAAAACGCACCGCATTGACCACAAACGAATCGTCATACCTTGCTCATCTGCGCCGGGCTGAGCGCCGTGCCGATCATGACAGAGCTCCTGCACGCCCTTGAAGCCAGCATGGCCCGCACCCGTGACGGCCGCACCGCCACAACCGTTGACGCCGATGCTGACGGTGATGGCGCTGGTGCTGCTGCAGCTCCAGACCTCCCTTCTCGTGGAGAAGCACCCCCTGCCGTGCCGCTCTCGCTGTTCGCCTCACTGCGCCTTGGTTGCGGAGAGCTTGTTGAGCTTGCACGCAACGAAGCTTCTTGGTGGTTTCCGGCACCAGATGCATCCCCCATGGCATGAAATGGGACAGTGTCAGGGACAGAGGCAGAGCCAGCAGCAGTTTCTGGCTCGGGGAGGGGCGCGTCTGCTAGCATTGAAATGAGCTCGCACACGTCTGGAAAAAGGGAGCAGGAGTACAAGAAGGGGCATACTTCAGTTATACACTATCAAAAGAATCACGATCACGCCTAGAGGGGCGATTCGCACGATAGTAGACATGGCAGATTCGATTCATTGAAATGCGTTGGAAGGTGTGGAGTGCTTGTGCAGTGGAGGATACTGGTGTCAGCTTGAGCGTGTGGTATGCAGCACCAATTTGTACCCTGTTAAACACCTTCTGAGAAATAATGAGCAGCAGCATGGTTCAAACTCACCGGAAGCACCAAAGACGATGTTCTTCGAGAATGGGACGGCAGAGAGGCGGAACCGACGGCCGGATGGAGCACTCTCATCCACGGAGAAATGAAAGCCGTTGGATCTGATGGGAGGGGTAGAATTGCGAGAAGTAGGCAGCGGAGAGGAACGGCGACCAGACTGAAGGGCCGACGCAGACAAAGGGGAGGGGGAGGGCATGAGGGATGTCCATATAGATGTATCGAAACCCGAAGAATAAACAAGAGGAGGGAAGAGCATAAGGGAGGGATGTCTTGATGGATACGTGACAGGCCACGGCAGTTGGTCAAGCGAGTGACTGTAAGAAGCGACAACAGAAACGGAGTGCATGAGGAGGTGGGACAACAGCGGACGAAGAGGCAAGGCAGTAAGTGGAAGTGTGAAACTACAAGTGTGTGCCTCTACATGTGTGTGCGCTACACATAATGGCCAAGTGTGATACATGGTGTGATGGCAGCACATCATTTGATCAGAGTGTGCTAGTTTCGTTCGACCGATGGTGCAATCACATCACAAGTGTGTGCACCTGAATGTGGGCATATGTGCCGATACAATCACTTCTTCAGCTGGTGATAGGTCCAGCCGTTGAGGCCTGCATGGACAGGAAAGGAACACCGTGAAAGAGAGCACGCAAAGGTAGCAAAAAACAATACGAAAGATCGAAAAGCGGTACGCGAGGGACACACCCGCCTGGCCCAAAAATGCGATAGACATGCACCCTCACATAGCACCACTCCACTCACGCTCTCCCCACTCACACGAGCAACGGCTGCCTTTTGAGCACGGTGGATCGCACAACTGTCACGCGAAACAAAACCACTTGACTCGGCTCACAATAACGGTCACCCCCCCAATAGCCCCCACCACACTCACTCCCCCCCCCACCACCACTCACACGAGCAGCGGCTGTCTGTTGAGCACTGTGGATCGCATGAGGCGCTCAAAGTTGAACTTCTCGTCCGATGCATGCTGATGGGTCATTGGGGGAGGGGGATATGGGATGATGGGACGAGGGAAAGATGGGAGCATGGCGAGAGGGAGAGATTAAATGAGTTGGGGAGCGGAGAGATGGGATGGGAAGAGGGAGAGATGGGAAAGGGATCGTCCTATGGACGTACGCGAAGGACACTAGGGTGGAGTGCCGTAGCTCGTACCAACATGCATGCTGTACCTGGTCCACAATGAACAGATCAGATCCCAGCCGTCCAATGATGAACCCAAGGTTGAACTGGCCAATCACAGTCATACTAGCAAAGTCGCGCTTGTCAAACCGCCTCTCTAACTCCCTCGCTGCCGCCTCCAAAGCCGCCTCCTTGCCCTCCCCCTCGCCATGCTGAACCGTCCTTCCACCACTGCTGTGGGTACCGTTGTTGCTCGTACCATCAGCAACCGACGCCGCTGCGAAGCTCCTCTGCCTCTCGCCCCTACTGCACCCTCCCACTCCCCTTCTTCCCTCCCTCTTCTTCTCCATCGCCTCCCTCGCCCGCATCTCAGCTCGCCGCCGCCACACCTGCTGCACGCGCCGCATGTCAAACTGCACTTGTACGTTGCTCTCTCCGCCCCTCACCTGCCATCCTTCCCCTGACCGTGCCACTCCGTTCATACCCGATGCAGCCCCCACTTTTGTCTCCATTTCCTCTACCCTAGCCCTTCCTTCGATTCCCTCATGTCCCTCGTCCCCTTCCAACTCCCCTGTGTGCCCGCCGCAACATCTCCCCTTCCCTGCCCCCTCTGCCACAGCCACCGCACAACTTTCCTGCTGCCCGGCCAACTGGGTGCCGGGCAGCAGCTGTGAACCCACCAGTTCGGGCAGGTCGGCCTGAGTCATTTCTTGAGTCATCAAGGGCAGATCCAAAACATTTTTTCCTGCCCACTCATCCCGGGTTGCCTCCTGCAGCCCACTATCAACCGCACATAGGGCAGCACCACTCCTTTCTTCATCATTCTTTTCTGCTCCTTTCCACTCCGTTGCACTCCTTTGCACTTGCATTTCCCCTGCCTCCCCATCCTCCTGCTCCACTTCCCTTACCTCGTCACTAACCTCATCCTCCTCCCTCTCATCCTCCCTCCCATTCTCCTTCGCATTCTCTTCCCTCTCATCCTCCTCTATCTCCACTGCTTTCCCCTCCAACTCCTTCCCACCCTCTTCCGCCCAACCATCCCCACCTCTCCCCCTCACACGTCTCCCCCCATCCACTCCGCCCATCTTGCCTCCCCCGCTTCCCCTTCCCCTTCGTCCTCCCCCGCCCCTCTTCCCCAGCCAAGCATCAAGCCCCGCCTGTCTCCCATCCGCACCTCCCCGCGCCCTTTCCACCCCTCCGCTGCTCTCTCCCCCCACCCTTCCCCTCCCCACCCTCTGCCTGCCCACCCCCTGCGCCTGAATACCAATCCCCCCCATGGAACGCTGCCCCCCTCCCCTCACTACCCTGCTGCTGCCATTCCTTCTGCTCGCATTGCCTCCCTCACTCTCCCTCTCCTCATCCTCCTCTTCTTTCTCTGGCTCTTCCGCTTCCTCTTCCTCTTCCTCTTCCTCTTCCGCTTCTGCTTCCTCTTCCGCTTCCTCTCCCTCTTCCTCCTCTTGCTGCGTTCTCTGCCGGACTCTCTCCCGCTCAGCAGCTGCCCTGTGTCGCGTCTCATACCCCTGCCACGCACGTGCCTGCTCCCCTCCACTCACTGACCCCCAAGACAACAACCTCCTGTCCGCTGTGCCACCACCACACGCCACATCCCCGCCCCTGTCCTCACTCGTACCCACACGCACACCCCCAGCCCCACCCACACTCAAACCCAAACCCAAACCCAAGCCCAAGGCCTTGCCATTGACCTTGCCTTTGCCCTGGGGGCTCATGAGCAGCAGTCGCCGCATGGCGGCTGCCTTGCTCTCACTCCACTGCAGTGTGCCCGCACTCCCACCTGCTGCTCCTCCTCCTGCTCTTTTTCCCCTTGCCGCCCCCTCCACTGCCTCCTCTTGTGGTGCTTCCCCCACTGCAGCCCCTAACGCTGCTTTTCCTCCTCCCTCCCCACGCTCAAACTGATGTAGAGGCTTCCTTCTGTCCCTCTCCCCTTCCTCCTCCTCCCCGCCTTCCACCGCCTCCTCCATCTGCCCATCCGCATCCTCATCCCCATTCAACTCATCTCCACCCCTCATTTCACCACCCCCTTGTGCACCAGCAGCAGCACCGCCACCACTATCACTACTCACCCTCACTCGCTTCCTCCTTCCCTCCCCCTCTTCCTCTCCATCCTCACCACCCTCCCCCTCATTCTCCCCACCCCCTACCCCTCCTCCCACACCCCTTCTCCCATTTCCCTTCTCCCCAACCTCCCTCCTCGCCCGTTCCTCAATCTCCTTCGCTACCGAACCAGCCAGCGCGGCTCGGTAGACATACCTATCCGGAGAGTAAAACTCCGACAACGCCGCTCTCAGCCCCGACAGCAGCGCTGCCTCCGAGTGCAAAAACACCTTGCGCTTATCCGGGGTCACGTTCACGTCGTACGCGTCCGCGCTAAGCGAAACGTTTAGGAAAGCGGCGGGGAACTGCAGGGAGTTGAAGGAGCGGTAGAGCTCGTTGAGCAGCTTGGAGAGGCGCGGCAGATCCACTGGACGCCCGTTGAGGAAGAAAAACTGCCGGTCACCCGATGACCTCCCACTGCCTGCTCCTGGCCTTGATAGAAACCCGGTTACTCTGCAGCAGGAAGCTGGTAACGGCGCAGAGGCAGTGGCAGCTGCACCGGTAGCAGCAGCAGGAGGAGCAGGAGCAGCAGGAGCAGGAGGGGCGGCGGCAGCGGCAGCAGGGGAGAGAGGGAAGGTGATGTCAACAGGGTCCAGGCCTGCAGCAGCCTTGGCGCCAAACACAGCGATGATGTTCTCGCGCATCGACCCCGTGCCAGCTGTCAGCACCACAGTGGTGCGCGCGCTGCTGCGCCCGCTCTGATTGGTGCAGAGGATGCGCGCGTGCGTGGACACCACGCAGTACGCCTGCAGCACACTCACCAGCTTCGCAAACTCGCGCCGCACGTTCCGCTCAAACTCCCGCCGCCGCACGGGCAGCGGCGAGAAAATCTTCGCCACGCTGACCGTCGTTCCGACTGCCCGGGCGACCTGTTCCCGAGGGGCGTCCAGGAGCTTTCCCGCATGGTCGAACACAAGGCGCGTTGCGATTGGCTCGTTGGCGGTGCGGGTGGTGATGGTGACGTCAGCAAGGGCGCAGAGGGAGGAGAGGGCTTCCCCTCGGAAGCCGAAGGAGGAGAGCGATTGGAGGTCGGCGAAATGGGTGATCTTGGACGTGTGGTACTTGAGGGTCAGTGCCTGCAATGGTGCACGAGGGGGAGGGTGGGTGGAGGGGCGGTGGAGGAAGGGGGAGAGGAGGGAGAAGAGCGAGGAGGGAGAAGAGCGAGGAGGGAGAAGAGAGGTTGGCGAAGAAAGAGGAGGGCGGACGGAAACGAAAGGAGGACGGATAAAGAGGAAGATGGGGAGTGCAAGCGGACGAGGAGTTAAGGTCAGAACCAACAACCAATCAACGGACGAGTTCACAGTGCCCATGTGCCAATTTCGTGCCCCTGTTTACCCCCCACCCTCCAGCCAGTTCCCAGTCGAATTCCCCCCATTCCCTACCATCTACCTGCCAAGCCCCCAGCTCCTTCGAATGTACTTATCACCCCCACGCCCCCTTTGTCCTCAAAACTCCCCCTTTCCCCTCACTCTCCAATTTCCTACCTGAAAGCTGGAACCTGCCACACCACATACGCCGCCCCTCACACCCGGTCACTCACCATGGCTATAATGCACCCGCACGGCCTTCCCATGCACCCGCCCGCCCGCTGCCCCTGCTGGACCCTTGACCGCCCTCAACACCCCTTGATCGCCCTCAACGCCCCTCGACCGCCCTCAACGCCCCTAAAGCGCCCTCAGCGCCCCTAAAGAATCCTTGATCCCAGGCGTCACCTGCCAGTTGTGGGGCGAGACGCCACAGCCATTGTCGGCCACCTCAATGAGCTCGGCGCCGAAGTCTTTCAACCGCACCTCCACGCTCGTCGCCCCCGCGTCCAGGCTGTTCTCCACCAGCTCCTTCACCGCACCCGCCACGTCCAACACCACCTGTATGAACGGGGACAAGGGCAGAGAGAGGAGAAAGGGGGAGGGGGACGGGTTGGGTGGTGGGAAGAAGCAGGTGCCTTACTGCCCGCGTCCAGACTGTTCCCCACCCGCTCCTTCACCGCGCCCGCCACGTCCAACACCACCTGCGCGGGGATTGGGGGGACAGGGGAGGGGGGTTGAGAAGAGGGTTTGGCTGGTGTGAAGAAGTAGGTATCCCACTGGCCGCGTCCAGGCTGTTCTCCAGCAGCTCCTTCACCGCACCCGCCACGTCCAACACCACCTGGGGGGGGAGAGAGGGGAGGAGGTGGGGGTTTGGGAATGCAAGGAGCAGACATCCTACTGCCCGCGTCGAGGCTGTTCTCCACCAGCTCCTTCACCGCCGCTGCCACGTCCAACACCACCTGCGGTGGGGAAGGCGGGGGAGAAAGCAGAGGGAGGGGGGTTAGTGGGTAAGCAGAAGGAGAACTATTCTCCACGAGCTCCTTCACCGCTCCTGCCACGTCCAACACCACCTGCGTGGGGGATGGGTTGCAAGGGAGAGAGGAAGGAGGGGGGAGGGGGGAAGGAGGCGAGGGTTGGGTGGTGAGAAGCTGGCCCCCGGGCTGTTCCCCACCCGCTCCTTCACCACGCCTGCCACGTCCAACACCACCTGCGCGGGGCGGATGGGAGGGAGGGGGTGGGGAAGGAGGAGGGAAGGGGCAGCTGGGTGACGGGAAGAAGCAGGTACCCCACTGCGAGACTGCTCTCCACCAGCTCCTTCACCGCGCCTGACACGTCAGCACCACCTGCGCGGGGCGTTGGGGGTGCAGCGGTAAGGGAGGGGGAGTAGGGGGGTGTTTGGTTGGGAAAAGCAAGAACTACACTAGCCGCGTCGGTGTTCTCCGCCAGCTCTGCGACACGTGCGGCTGCGATCCGCGGCGTGGCGTGCGGAGCTCCTAAGCGCGCCGCGGCTGGGCGAAAGGCGAGTGGCGAGAGAGGGACGAAGGACGGGGTACTATTGCGGGTCGAGAGCTCCGGGGTAAAGGGGAGGGGGGAGCGGAGAGAGATTGGGGGCGGGAGATTGGGGGGGGAGGGGGAGGGCGGGCGAGACAAACTGCGCGAGGCAGACGACGTCGCCAGTGGTGCTGTATTAGTAGGACGGATGCAGGAAACTGTGCGGATTGGCCTCACTAGCGGCTATTGCAGAATAACGACAAGACTAGGTGACGGTTTGGCCTATCGGGCTCACCTGTCCCGAGCATATGCGGTGAATGGCGGTTTTATATATTGCCCGGATTACGGTTTCTCTGCCGCTGCTGACGCTACCGCTAACGCCAGCGTCATTGCTTGTAATAGCCGGCATACAGTGAGCTGGCATGCTCGTGTGAGTGAAATGGTATGGTAAAAGGGACTGTCCAGGAGAGTGCACTGGGCTGCTCTGTGTGGAAATGGCGGCTTCAACCTCACGCGTTTTGCCATGAAAGAAGCGAGCGTGTAGTGCGTTGTGGTACCCATGAGGGCGTGGCTCAAAGATGTAGGGACACATTGCTTCGTGACTTCCGGCACGAACCGTTTCCTTCCATCCGTGTTGACGAAAGTGGGATTCGTCAATTTTTTTCGTCAGGAGGTGGTCATCACGTGATTCGTCCTGAATGCTATATTGACGACGGGGTCACGTTATAACCTTGTTACGGTGCTGTTGCATGTTGTGGTTCCGTCGCATTTTCCTTGCTTGCATATGGAACATTTTGCCATTCTCGCGAAAATTTTGAAAGTTCGTCCCCTGTGAACGCTTCTTCAAAACTTTTGAACTGCGCCCTCAGATCCCGAATTTAAAAACTGAAATCCACGTGTACACTTTTGTAACGTCTGCGTTGAGGGTGTTATGAATGAACTTGTCAGAGTGCGCAGAATATCGAATAACGAGAATGAGGATTACAAAATGACGAAACAATGAAGTAGCGAGGCCTAAATAGGGGAAATGCTAGCTAGGCGAAGAGGTAGGGCGAAGATGGCTCGGTGATGGTTGCGATTGGTGCGGAGGCCGACTCGGGAGTGGTTCGGCCGACGAAATAGACCGAACAGGTTCGTCGCGTGTCCTTCGGGATGTACTCGCTAAAATGCGAGTACAGTAAGGAATTGTAATTCCTTACAGAGGGGGATTGGAAAAAGCATTTCAGTCACACAATTTCTTATCAAGCAAGCATGTTATATGAGCGAGTTTCTCACAAAATACGTCGTGCCAATGGAATGTCCGCACAGTATTGCAAAAGCATCAACAAAGGCATCAATGCTAGCAGACGGTGGTAATAACACAATACTTATTTAGTTTACGCTATAGTGTAAGGAACTTGAAGACAGCACAATTTAAGAGATTGAACAACATAAGCAAATGTATGAGTGTATGTTATATAGTGAAACGAATGATAATGGTAACACTTGAAAAGGTGGGGTGCTCTACGTGGCTAGTGATTAAGTTCGAAAAAATACAAGGTGTAGGGCCGGGCCGGACCACATGTAACCAGCCAAGGCATGTGGCTCAAGGCAGATGGCGCGAACAGTGGTCAAGATGAATAAGGGATGGAATTGGTAGCATCGGCGTGTACTGTGTTGACACAGTATGCAGGTACCTCCCTTGCTTTGTTCCTCGGCGCCATAGCTCCTATGGGCATTCGCACTTGCGAAGGCCCGGCCAGTTGTAAGTGTTACGATATGAAGCTTTATGAGAAGGCATTCCTGTATGCTGCAGGAGCCGACTCTACCGAGTACGAAGTCGAGGAGTCAGAAGAGTCGAAGCGACACTGCAATCGTCTGACTAAGACCGATGCAGGCAGAAGCATTTGAAGTGAAAAGAGCGGGAACAGGTTTGAAACTGATTCCCGCGCCGCACGGTTTAAATTTCGCTGCAATAAGGGAATGTACCCCTTAGAGTACATGGCTAGTCTAGGTCGTTTCGCATTCCTTTGTATTTCTATATAAACTTAATGTATGCATGCTATAATCAATCTCAGTCATTTACATTCACTCTGACCTGAGTTCACTACTTCCGCTGCGACACTACCCGCGATCAACCCTGAACGATCCTCTTCGCTAAGTCACATTTCAGATTGTAACATGGTATGAGAGCTGCTCAGGGATTCTTCGCAACGTCAACTCCGTAAAATTCGCCAAACCAAGATCTGGCGAGCGGCACACGTTCCAAGACCAAGATGGCCGGAGGATCCGGAGGCCAAACAAATCTAACGGCCGAAGGACAAACCAACCCGGCTGCGACAAATGAAGCGACAACTACGATCGGCACTGCCGCGCTCGAGCAGTTATTCGCTCGACTGTCAACAATGGAGAAAGAACTCCAAGAACTGCGCAAAGGCGATGCGGGAACCACTTCCCAACCAGTTCAACCTGGACAACCGGCTGCGAAAAGCCGCGATACCGCCGCGCATGGCTTCTCCCTCGACTCAGACAAATCTGCAACAACTGCCCCTCGTCCAAGCGACGAAACCATCAACTCTGCGCAAGCACGCTTTCTAAGTGTGTCAAAGATCAAGACTACTGCCGCGTTTGACGGCAAGGATTTTTATACATGGAGTTTTGAGCTGGAGCTCCTCCTACAGACAGCGCAGATCTACCACTACTTCACGGTTGTCTGTGTAGAAGGCGAGTCGCTCTCGCCGCGGCGCGGAACTCGTTCTGCTCGAGTCCATGTCCTGCTGTTCAGTCAGCAGTGCGGCGCATAGCGCGGCTTCGGAAAGTTGTCCTCGTTGTCGGAGTAGTGCCTTGCAGGGCTTCCACTCGGGCCCAAGTCCCTGGAGGATGATGTTTACGAATATCTCCTCCGAGATCGAACTTCCGTTCTTGATGATTTGATCACGGATGTTCCGACAACGGTTGATGTAACTGTTTGCTTTCTCCCCGTGCCCCATCTTCGTCTCCATGAGTTGTTGCAGGAGACGACTTGCAGTGACGGAATCCTTCGGCTGATATACCTCCACGAGGTGCTTCCAAGCTTCAAGAGCCGGAGCGGCGCTCTCTTTGTAGGAGCGGATGCCGAGCTGTTCTGCTGGCGACATGTTGCGCAGCAGGACGCTATACGCCATGAGCGACTCACTGTAGTATTGAGCGCGGGCGTCTTCGGTGTCTTCCACCGGTTTAGGATAGGAACCGTCGAAGTAGTGGTCTTCCGTAAGGGGGTTGTTCCACCCTTCTTCTGGTTGCGGCAATGTTCCCTGAAGTTCGTTTTCTTCGTCTGTCTGCACAACCCCGACATCAACGGTTGTGCAGGTTGTACGAAAGGTCGGGTCGGCATGTGACAGATGCGAACAGCAGGCAGCCCAGCTGCTGCTGGTACAGTTGGAGCCCCGCGGGGGACAAAGGTTTGTTGTCTGGTTTGTAGTTGGTGCTGGGGCTGCGGTATGGAGTTGAGAGTGGTGCGCGTGAGATGTTGAACCGTTCTCCCAGCTGCTCTGCGTATTTTGAAGCTGACAGATGAATTGCGCCTGGCGCGTAGGTGATGTTCAGGCCCAGAAACTGGGTGACGTTGTGGTTGGTGGTAATGTCCACGCGCTTCGCCAAGTTTTCTTCGAACTGGGTAAGAAGCGTGTTGCAGGTGCCAGTGTAGAGCAGGTCGTCGACGTAGACGGTGAGGAGGATGTAATCGCCGTTGAAGTGGAGGCGGTACATTCCCGGGTCGTGCGGCAGCTGCCTGAAGCCGATTTCCAGTAGAATTTTGTGCAGGTGCTGCTGCCAGAGACGAGGCGCCTGCTTAATCCCATAGAGGGATTTCTTCAACTGGCAGACCCTGGGATCTCCTTCTCCGTAGGTGTGTGGTTGCTCCACGAAAATGGTTGCATCCACCAACGCATATAGGAATGCGTTCTTCACGTCGATCTGTCGCAGTGGTAGATGCTTAGCAGCCGCTATGGCGAGTAGGATTCTGACGGAGGTGTGACGGCTGACAGGAGCGAAAGTTTGGTCGAAGTCGATGCCGTGGCGTTGGTCGTAGCCTCGGACCATGTCAAACATTATATGTGTTGTGCTTGTTTAGGCTGCAGTGGGTTAGCCTATAGGGGGTACACAATTCTAGGGTTAGGTACTTGTACTCATTTCACTGCTAGTTCACTCATTCCTCGTTCAGTTATTCTGACATGGTATCAGAGCAGGTCCTTCGCTAGGACCTAAGTTTTTTTTTCGGGCCCACCTCTACTACCTACTTCCTACCTACTGTCGGAGTGCTGCGTTAGCGCCTCCCCCTCAGCGCCCTCGTGCGCCCTCGTGTACGGCCCCTTAAGGCCCCGTCGACCCCGCACGCTGCCCCTTAGTGGCCCCGTCGCACCCGCGCGCGCCCCGATTCCGGCCCGCTTGGCCCCGTCGACCCCGCGCGCACCCCGTTTAGCGGCCCCGCGGCCCCGTCGACCCACCCTAGAGGCCCCTCGGCCCCGCGCGCACCCCGTGTAGCGGCCCCGCGGCCCCGTCGACCCACCCTAGAGGCCCCGCGGCCCCGCGCGCACCCCGTTTAGCGGCCCCGCGGCCCCGTCGCCCCACACCTAGAGGCCTCGCGGCCCCGCGCGCACCCCGTTTAGCGGCCCCGCGGCCCCGTCGACCCTCAACTAGAGGCCCCGCGGCCCCGCGCGCACCCCGTTTAGCGGCCCCGTGGCCCCGTCGCCCGCCACCTCACGGCCCCGCGACCCTCCTGCGCCCCGCTTAGCGGCCCCTCGGCCCCGTCGAGCCCCGCTTAACAGCTCCGCGCAACCGAACCGAGCCGCGCCGCCCTACCTGAACCGAGCCGCGCCGTCAGACCGAGCCGCGCCGCCCGTACCAGCAGCCCCGTCGATACTGCTGCTCCTCCTATTTCTTCTACGGCTACTACTGTTCCTACTGCAACTACTGCTGCCACTATGGCCAGTCCTCCCGTACTTGCTTTCGATGCTGAGGGCCGCCCAGTGAAATTTGACACCTGGCTAGATGACCTGCACCTCTTCCTACAGCTCACTGCCAAGGAGGATATTTCGCTGTACGATCATGCCCTCGGTCACGCTACTGCCCCTCCTACCACTGCTGACAGCACTCAGCGCTCACAGTGGCAGACTCGTGACGCCCACGCTCGCTTCGCTATTCGCAACTCCCTGCCACTAGATGAGCGCGAGCACTTTGGCCAGCACAAGACTGCTAAGGACCTGTACACTGCTGTCGTTGCTCGTTACTCCTCACCTGCCTCTGCCGCACTAGGCCGCCTCACCCTCCCATACCTGTTCCCCGACCTGGCCTCCTTCAGCACAGTCGCTGACCTCATCACCCACCTCAGGACCAGTGAGGCCCGCTTTCGCGCTGCTATGCCTGACGAGTTCCTTGCCACCAACCCCCCCC